CTGACGTGAGACAGCAGAGGCTTTCCAGGCGCTTCACCACTGCGCCATCCCCCCAAAGCTTTTTGTGTAAACTGGCGGCTTTTTCTCTGAAACTCGTTCGCACGATAAGCAGCGCGTCCCTGAAATCAAAGATAAGAAGAAAGCTCGGAGAATTTGCCTTGGAACCAGGCTGGGCAACGCGGAATGGCCGATTGGACATGGAACGTTGCTGTGCTGGCTTCTCAGGAGACGTCATCAGCTGCTTGCGCACAGAATGTCTGCCCTACCCTATTCTAGATCAAGTCAAGGCGAAGAGTTTTTGAAGACAAAAAAAAGAGCGACTAAAGCAATGTGCAGGACCTGCATACGGATGCTGGGTGACGTCGGTGGCGGGCGCTACGAGGGAGCGCCGCGCAGGCCCCAACGGCGCGGACGACAACTACGGATGTCAAAGAAGAATGCCGTATCTGCATTTGCAAAAGACACAGGATGACGGCGTCTTGGTGCACCGAGGCGAAGGTGATCGAGCCCTTGGCCCATGTCTGGTTGGTGCACCGTTGTCTTTGCAGACCCTCTCATTCCCAGAACCCCGTCCCAACAGACATTCTAGATGGTACCGCGAGACCCACCGGCGACTTTGCCATGGCCACACACACGTCCGCCGACCCTTTGCGACCCAGTTTTCCTGCCCACCACAAGGTTGGCATTGGAATGCTAACGAAGCAGAGATCGCTATGTCCCCAAAAATAATCGCTGCCCCAGCGCTGCCTCGCCCTGCTCCTTTACTATGTAACCCCAAGGCGAGCTCCACCCAACCGATACATACATCCGCTGCTGCCACCCGTTGTCCTATCCTGCTTTTCTCTAATTTCTTCTCCTTCGCTTCCACCCTCAACTGACCCTTGCAGCACGCCGCTCAATTCACCTCAGTCACTCGCTAGAACTACTAACGAGACACGCTCCTGACGTCACGCCACTCGGTTTCACTAGTTCACCCTTTCACCTAGGACCAGCCGAATAGCAACTCCGAGCCATTGATTGCCCTTGAGCCCTGAAAGGAAAAAGCAAACGCTCGTTGCAGGGCCTGACGTGAGCTGCCATATTACCCTGATCCTTTTAACAAGGGCTATCGCGGTCTCCTATCGCGCGTCGATCATCATCCACGACGGCTACGGGTCCGATTGTGCTTATTCGCTATGACGACCCCAATTGTCGAGCGGCCTGAGCCGACATACAACATGGACAACAATACACCATACGATCACCAGCGGTCTTCCGACGAGGACGGCACAGTTTTTGGGGACGACCACCACCACCAACCACATCTGAACACTAACGCACGACCGTTACATAACCGATCGCAGTCTGGCGCACACCTTACTGTCGACACCGAACCAGACATAGCATCCATGAGGGGCGTGCAATCACCTACACAAACTCGTGAGCAAGCGAGCAGGCTCAATGATGACCTCGCCGTGCTTGCAATCGAGCAAGGCCTCGACGAGAAAGAAGCCCTCATGCGGAATCAGTCCACAAACCGGTCCATGACACGGGTGCGATCTCGCCGCGACGACCTTGTCGACGACTTTGATGCGGCTACAAACCCATTACACGAGCAGGCTGCTCGCTACAAGCCACCAGAGAACCCTAACACCAGCTTCTCCAAGTTCTTCAAAAAGGTCCACAACTCGTCATGGCTTGTCCGCTACTTTACCTACATTACGCCCATGGTGCTGCTGATTCTGATCCCTCTGCTCCTCGGAGCTTTTGCCTTCAAGGAGGCTAATGTGGGTGGGGTTAAGCTGGTTTGGTTCTCTATATGGCTCATGATTGTCTGGTTGACACTGTGGGCTGGCAGAGTAAGCTTTGTTCTGCATTCATTCCATCCTCACACGCTGACATCTATTGCAGGTCTTTGCTAAGCTACTTCCCTGGCCAATCGGTCTAGTATCCAGTCTCTTCACCAATAACAGCAAGAAATGGAGGGACATGGGCAAGCAGCTTGAACTGCCTGCCACCCTCTTCTTCTGGTGGCTGGCCATTGAAATCTCTTTTCTCCCGACCATGACCAACCACCATCTCGACGGAAACAAGACGACCAAAGACTGGGAACGCGATATGAACAAAGTGCTTGTTTCTTTCTTTGTCGGCTTTGTCCTCAACTTCATCGAGAAGATCATTATCCAGCTCATTGCCATCAGCTTCCATCTCCGAACCTACCAGGACAGGATTGAACTGAACAAGTTCCAAATTGGCAGTCTTACCAAGCTGTACAAATTCTCAAAGGAGAAGATTGCCATGGAAGACTCGGAGTTTGAGCAGAGCGAGGAAACCCAGAAATCTGGCGCCCGCACTCCTGGTCAAGTGTTGACCGAAGCTCAGAGGAACATCAAGGTTGGCTTCAGCAAGTTTGGTGACATTGCCGGTAAGGTTGCTGGAGACTTCACTGGTCGACAAGTGACCAACAGCGGCCATCCCCACCAGGTTGTACTGCAGCTCATTAGTACTACGAGTGGCGCCCAAGTATTAGCCCGCCGCTTGTACCGCACTTTTGCACGACCTGAAACTGAAACTGTGCACTCCGAGGATCTCAACAATGCCTTTGACAGCGACGAGGAGGCCACAGCCGCGTTTTCCATGTTTGATAAGGACATGAACGGTGATATTTCAATGGAAGAACTCGAGGCTGTTTGCGTGGAGATTGGCCGTGAGCGCAAGTCCATTACTGCTTCTCTCAAGGATCTCGATAGCGTTGTCTCCAAGCTGGACGATGTCTTCGTCTTCATTGTGGTCATCATTACCATCATTGTCTTCATCTCGCTCATTTCGACTTCGGCTGCCGGTGTACTTACGTCTGCTGGTTCGGCTCTTCTTGCTTTGTCCTGGCTCTTTTCCGCTACTGCTCAGGAGTTCCTACAGTCGTGTATCTTCGTCTTCGTCAAGCACCCTTACGATGTTGGTGATCGTGTCACTGTCTACGGTAACACGGGTGATCTCGGTCGCGGTGACGACTACTTTGTCAAGGAAATCGCCCTCTTCTACACGGAGTTCAAGAAGATGCAAGGTCACATTGTCCAAGCGCCCAACAGCTACCTCAACACGCTCTTTATCCTTAACCACCGTCGTTCTGGAGCACTCGCCGAGGCCATCCCTATCATTATCAAGTTTGGTACCACCTTGGAGCAGATCGAGCGTCTCCGCAACGTTCTCCTCGAATTCGTCACATCTGAGAAGCGTGAATACCAGACTAACATCCTTACTGAGCTCCGCGCTGTACAAGAAGTCCACTGGCTCGAGCTCAACGTCGTCTTCTTCTACAAGTCTAACTGGCAAAACGAATTGCTCAGGTTGCAGCGTCGCAACAAGTTCATCTGTGCGCTTACCATGGCTATCCAGGAGTGCGAAATCGAAGGCCCCCGCATGCGCTACCCCGGTCAGAAGGAGTCGTTCCCCGTCTATCTTCAAAACCTGCAGAACCCTGCTACGCCTGGTGTTGGCATCAATGGCACACCCGATCAGCCCAACGGTCACATTCGCAACGAGCCTCAGGACCAGCCTTTTGTAGCACCCGCTTCAGAAGGTGCTACCGACAGCGCCCCTCCCACATCTGCAGGCACTGGTCCCACCCGCCGCACCTCCATCCTCCGTCAACCAGGTACACGAGCAGCTCCGGAAACACTCTCGGCAATGGGCCGCCGCGTCGACTTCTCCCTCGGCATGAAATCCATCGGGCTCGACGACCCCAGTGGCGACGTCCTCGAAGACCGCGAAATGGAATCTCGCACCCGCGCCACCGTCGTCCGCGTCACCTCCCCTGGCCACAGCCTTGAGCGCAACGGTCGCGGCTCCCAAGAAAGCGGCCGTAGCACTAGTCTCCAGCGCGTAGGCACAAACGCCTCGTCCACCATGCGCGAGCGTACCCACCGCAACCGCTTCTTCTCCCGCAATCGCCATGGCAACGACGAGGAAGCCGCCATGGCCGATATCCCTGAAGCGACCGATTACGATACTCCGCCTCGCACCAACACGCTCGATCCACGATCCGGTCTCGTTTCTTCAACCGCCGTGCGGGACGCTGCGTCCCTCTCGGAAACCCACTTGCGACCGGTACATAGCATAGATGCACCTGGTGCATCAGGTGCGCTCCCACCTAGCACCGCGGATTCAGAACGCACGTTTGGTCTACCCGCGAGGTCGCGTACTGATGGATTTGAAATGAGACGGTTCCATTAAGCCCCCCCCCCCTCCCCTCGTTTACCCGCTTTCCTTTTTTCCCCACAATTCCCCGGGGGAAAAGTAGAAGTAGAAAGGACACCTCCTTTTTTTTTATTTAATTCTTATCTTTTCATGTACATTCACACATTCATCACCTTTTTCTTTTCTTTTTCTTTTTTTTCTCGTCCGAGATTGCGAGATTTATATCGTATTAGATTGTCATATTCTACCTCTTACTGGTTTGAGCAGGGGAAGCCATTGAAGGGGAACCATGAAACAAGAAACTATTCGTTTGAACAAAATGACCATGTTTGGTGGTGTTTTTTTTTTTCGTGGAAATTGACAAGGGCATCAAAGCGTCGGTATCAGTTGTTTAGTAGAGCCAAGAGGCAGCGCGCCAGGCTTTTTTTTCTTCTTCTATCATCATTATACCATCTTCCGTGCCTAGTCTTGTGGACTGGTATCGCTGGAAGATAACCTATAGATTTTATTGACTATTGAACTTGCCATCTTTCTGCTGCACGGTGATCACGTTTAAAGCAATTATACTAATTAGATTCTAACTAGTGCGTAGAATAAACTGACTACACATTCACCAGGTTTGACTGGGACTTTGTGACAATAAGATATTTAGAAGAAAACGAATTGAATAATGATCAGGCACAGAAATCTTCAATTCAAGACCTCGATTCACATGCAGAAAATCGCGATCAACACTGCAGCATCCAGGAGTCTTTTGCTCACCCCAGCACTTAACACTTAGTAATCTCTCCACTCCATCACTCCACATGCATATTTGACAAAATTTAGTACTCGCCCTCCTCAACACCCTCATCATCGAGAGAGTCGTTGGCAACCTCTTCGTAGTCCTTCTCCAATGCAGCCAGATCCTCACGGGCCTCGGAGAACTCTCCTTCCTCCATACCTTCACCAACGTACCAGTGAACGAAAGCACGCTTCGAGTACATGAGATCAAACTTGTGGTCAAGACGAGACCAGGCCTCGGCGATGGCAGTGGTGTTGCTAAGCATGGCAACACTTCGGTCGACAGAGGCAAGTTCGCTTCCGGGAACGCTGATGGGCCTGTATCTTGTTAGTGGTGATGGATGAAAACGAAGGGCAAGAAAAACATACTTGGTGTAGTTGATTCCGAGCTTGAAACCAGTGGGGCACCACTCAACCAAGTTGAAGGATGACTTGGCCTTGAGAGCACCGGCGGCAGCCGAGCAGTCGCGGGGAACGATATCACCACGGTACAGAAGGGCGACAGCCATGTACTTTCCGTTGCGTGGGTCACAGACAACCATCTGGTTGTTGGGCTCGAAGCCTGTTCAAATTAGCAAGGCGCATATACATAGTGATTGAGGAAAAAGAAGAACGTACACTGGAAGGTAAGGTCAGAAACCTTGAAGCTCTCGTGGGAACTCTTCTTGGCCGAAATGACAGGAGCGTAACTGATGAGGGGGTAGTGGATACGGGGGTATGGGACCAAGTTGGTCTGGAACTCGTTCAGATCAACGTTTAGTGCACCATCGAAACGCAGACTGGAGGTGATGGAGCTGACAACCTGAGCAATCAGGCGGTTGAGGTGCTCGTAGTTGGGGCGGGGGATGTCCAAGCTGCGTCGGCAGATGTCGTAGACAGCCTCGTTGTCGACGAGGAACGTGCAGTCGGAGTTCTCAATGGTGCTGTGTGTTGAGAGAACGGCGTTGTAGGGCTCAACGACGGAGGTGGAGACGCGAGGAGCAGGGTAGACGGCGAATTCGAGCTTGCACTTCTTGCCGTAGTCGGTCGAGAGGCGCTCGAGCAGGAGAGCACCGAATCCAGAACCAGTACCACCACCGAAAGAGTGGAAGATGAGGAAACCCTGGAGGGAAGAGCAGTTATCTGGTCGTGTCAGTAAGTGAAACCGGTTGGCGATGATTATGGTGCTCACCAGCAACGCGACGGATCTTCTCAATCACGCTGTCGACCATCTCCTTGCCAATGGTGTAGTGGCCACGAGCATCTGCTGTCGTTAGTGACGCTGTGTACCCGACGCGCTTTCCTATACGCACAGTTGTTGGCAGCATCCTCCTTGCCGCTGATCAACAGCTCGGGGTGGAACAATTGGCGGTAGGAGCCAGTTCGGATCTCGTCGATGGGCTGTTACCGTCAGCGCTGCTCGATTGTGCGGCATGGTATCCACGTACCGAGGGGTCCAAGTCGACAAAGATGGAACGGGGGACGTATTTGCCGCTGCCGGTCTCGGTGAAGAAGGTCTCGTAAGAACCAGTCTCGCCAAGTTCTTTCGCGTCGGGGTTGGGGCGACCATCAGGCAAGAGACCGTGCTCGAGGAGGTAACTGAGGCCATGGTGTCAGTGATGGAGCAGGCGGTTTGGGGGGCGCGCGTAGCGGGTGTAGTCACATACAGCTCCCAGGCGCTGTTGCCCAGCTGGGTTCCAGCTTGGCCAATGTGAAGGTGGCAGATCTGTGAAGCATAATGTTAGCCTGGAGTACAAATAGTAAGATGCCTTTGTTGCGGCGAAGTGAGGGGGTGTTGGGTTGGGGTGTCGTGTGTGGGCGGGCATGCATGGCTATCCAAGGGCCAATGCAGGCAGACATACCTCTCCTCGCATGGTGGATGGATTTCTGTGTCAAACAGACTGTCGAAAGGGACGTCAGGGTTCCGGCGTCGAGGCTGGAGGGTAGAAGTGTTCTGGGTTCAGGCGGTGAGAAGCGCCGCGTTGGTCGTAGTTTGGTGGGGTCAGATGCAGGGGCCCTTTGTTTACGCGACGTGCCACTTTACCCCAATCGTCCACGCCAACCACGCACAACGCCAGCGGCACAGCGGGGGGCATGGTGCGCGCTCAGGTACGCCCTGGCATAACAGATATGCGTTATGCATTGGTCTTGTACAAATAGGGCTGCCAAAAAACAACCATTGTCCAATAAACCTAGTATCAAACGAACGCATTCTACAACTAGTTATGCTGTTTTTATGCACCCAAAAACCAACCCAGGGATATCTCGTCTATGTGTATACTAATTAGTGCCGCTCTTCTTATAAAACTCCGTCACGCTCTCACACCCCTTTGGTGTCCGACACACTCTACGTGCGTCCTCGGATGCCGTCTTCCATATCACCTCCCGTACCTCTTTGCCAACCTTCTCAATCGCATCCATAGCCCAGATGACGTCCAAGTGTTCGTATCCTTCAATGACCTTGGAGTGTACCACGTCGACATGAGGCTCGCGACCGTGTTCGAACCGACGAAGAAGCCGGTGCCCATCGACAAGATCGTCGGCGCCGCATACCCATAGCGCAAAAGGAGGTGTCCCGGGCCCGTACCAGGCGTAGCGCTCAGCAGCCTTCCTATCCTCTTCCCTCTCATCAGCATTTCCTTCGTCATCACCGCCCTCTTGCACTTGCATGCTCGTGCTCGACTTCTTGCGCTCGCGCTCTTCATCTTCCCTGTCCTCGATTGTTTTTTCTTCTCTCGTAGCCAAGATGCACTTTTGCCTTGCAAAACATTCCCGTCCAAGCCACCAACGCATGCTCTCTGCACTGACGTAGACTGGGGAGAATTGGAAAAGCCGGTCCCTCAGATCACGCTCCCACCGAGCATCCGTCCAGTTGAATAAAAAGGCAAACACTCGATATCCCATTGCGCCATACAACTTACCTGGAAGAAGACTGTGCATCGTCATCATAAAGGGAATGAAAGAGTGAATGCCAAAAACGGCCCGGAACATGTTCGGACTGATGACCTGCATGAACTTGAATTGGGCCTTGTCTATGAGACGACCAGCATACGCAGCAGGAGCTAGAGCGCAGAAGACGCTAATCTTCTCGCTGATCTCAGGGCGCTGTTCCTTGGCAAGCCCAACGAGGGTTTGCGTCGTGCCCTGACTATGTGCGATGAGGCCTAGTTTCTCAAATCCAGTCTCCGATAATACACGTGAGATGAGAGCAGGCAAGTCCATTACTCCCATCTGCCGAATGTTCCATGCCCACATGCGAGGATCGCCATAATCCAATGTTGAATGTCTAGGCTTGAACCCGCATCTGTTATTGCCCAGCCAGACGTCGTAACCAGATTTGGCAAGGAAGAATGCAAGACTATCGTCGTCGTTTGTACAGTATGCACCTGCCGACTGTAAGAGACCATGGATCATGAGCACCGGATACTTCTTTTCACCTGGCTCATATTGCGAGCCAGCAACACGAGTTCTGTCCTCCGGAAAGAGCTCGGGCGAGTGTGGTGAGCGTTGACCGGCATTTGTGCGCTTGTAGTCACGAGGATTGTAGAGATGCCACAGTTCAATGATGAAGCCATCCTCGGTCTGCACATTGAAGATTTCGCAGTCCAGACCGACCCGTCGCGCATAGTAACGAGCATCGCAGACGAGAGGATCGAGGCCACCTTCTAGAGGTTCGTATTCTCTCGCCGTTTGCTTGTCCCCATTTTCCAGCCTTTTCTCCAGCATAATCTTGTCTTGCTTTCTCCAAGCCTCTTCTGCTTCTCTCCTGGCTTCTCTTCGTTTGGCCTCCTCATTGTGAAACAGACGCTGCTTTTCTGGATCGCGAAAAGTGAGCACCAAGAATAGATGCTTCACCATGCCTGGGAGAGATGTGAATGCGGCCCCCAGTATAATAACGAGGAGAAACAGGAATGAAAGGATGCCAGAGGAGAACCTGAAGAACCAGCACTGGCACTTTCTCAGCAGCGTGGGAGGTCCATACATGGGTAACGGTGGGAATAGAGGATTCGTTTTCCAAGGTGCTTTGGCATCTCCCAGAGGCACATCAAACTTGCCCTCGCCCTCCATCTCTGCTTCTTTGGTCAGAAGTCCATGTACTGTTCCATCTTTTGCTTCTCGCAGCCGTGGTGACAAGGGCTTTTGTTGCGTCGCATGACCATCCTCGATAATGTTTCTTAACTCATTGAGTTTTGTCGCTTCCTCAAGGGGCACGGCAGGTAGTCGGTGCCCATCTGCAGTCTCGATGACAGGGTCTTGCGGGGTGACAAAGTGTGCTTCAATGGCCTGTGTAGAACCGGTTGTCTCATTCTCCTGTTCTGGCGTATACTGCCCTAGCCGTTCTGCTTGCTGCGCGAACTCGACGGCTGCTTGGGTCTTTGATTTGCTGTCATCTTTTTCGTGGTGAAATTGTTTCTCGATACGATGCTTGACAGCAGTCGCCGTGGACATGTTTAGTTAAGTGGGACCCCGAATTATGTAATGACAGCCTGGTGGAGAATCCAGTAGGTCCCGGAATGGTGGGCTATCGGTTGAACAAGTAGTCTAATGGGAACCGGATATACAACAAACCTTTCCTAAGGAATGGCATGCGGATGGGTAGCGAGAGAGATCTGATGCATGGCAGCTTTTGTGGGTGTATTGTGGTGGGCGATATAGATCAGCGCGCGCCTTGGTCAGAGCAGTCATTACGTCAGATGTAAATAGAGCATGGCGACGATTAGCGAGGGTGCGAGAGATTGATGCATCTGCATCTCAACAAACAAAGTCCGGTCTCCTAATAGCAAGGGAGAGTGAGAAGAGTTGGCAAGATACGCGTAAGTATTTGCCCAACGTAGCACATGGCAGCATAAAGCAGCATGCGGTGGCGTTGACTTTGACGTGTCGGAGACATGTCCGTAGTCTCCTCATATGTCAATCTCAACGCCCACACACGCTGCGTGATGGATCGAAGCGCATTTTTTGTTGAACAAAGTAACACTAGAGAGCAGCAGGAACTCTTCTTCTTGGTTACTGGGTGTACCAAATATGCTCCAATGGGTACTGCGTACGACGACAGGCGCTCTTGACGAAGGATGGCACGTGATATGCAGCCAATAGGTGCAGGCTGATGTCGCATCAGGCTGTCCAACAGTAAAAGCAGACCTCTTGTTCCCAAGCGACCAGGTATATGAGCCGCACTATCATCTCGCAACGCTATAACGCAATCGAGTTGATGGTCCGGTGACGTGCAGAGGGAGCGATGGCAGAGTCGGTGTTGGTGTCCCTAGGCTGACCCCTGTCCTCCGTCCTCCGAGCTGGTAGCCGTTGTTTAGCTCTGCCGAGGCAATACAGCCCATATCAGATCTCCGGGCGAATCGCATGCGCACCAAACAAAGGGCCTCTGTTGCTCACACCTCTGTCCATTGGGACAGATCTTTATACACAACCAAACATGGACGCGCCTAATGGATCACAGAACCCGCGAAAGAGGCGACGGAGAAGGCGCCTTGACCGGCCTCCTGTCTCGGCGCGACTACTGCTCGACGACCGCATCAAGGGCGAGGTTGGCGTGCTGTCTGAGGATCTCTTCAACGATCTGTTTCCTGCCTCTAAAAGCAAGAATGCAGGTAGGTGGAAGAAGCAAACTCCCAGTCACCAGCGAAGAGAGGGGCCGGCTAACTAGGGCAGAAACGAATGGAGATACCCCAGACTCAGACCGCATCCGACACGTTGCCATCACTCCGTGGCTACCGAGCGCCGTCGTCGCTTCAAACAACATTCCGTGGACAATCTTTCCGGTGCGACCGGCTGAGAAGACTGAGAATGGCACTGCGCACCCCCACTCATCCCTCCACATCCCGGCCTCATCGCTTGCGCTGCAGTCCTTCTCCCAAGTCCTCCAGACCGTCGCTCCAAATAGAGCACAGAGACGAGATGCGCCAATCGAGGTGCGCATATATGATGTTGTACCAGTCGGCCTGGACACACTCTATGTCAACTTGGATACCGAAGCACTGAGAAAGCTCGATGAGGTGCACGCCAAATTCGGCGGCGGGTTCCTTCCTCAGGTCAACGGCACCTCGCGCGGACCAAAGAGTCGCTCCCTGGAAGCCAACGGCACAAGAGGAAAGCACGTCGATGTGGTGGCGCAAGAAGAGGTTTGGCGGAAGGCCGTACGCGAAGCCCTACAAATACCCAGCGTCCTTCATACTGGCGACTTGCTCCCCTTGAACCTCCCTGCCCACCCAATCACACACGTTCCGCCTCCGCCGGCCAGGATCACCGCCTGCGAACCCGTCTCGCAAGGTCTTCTCTTGCCCAGCACGCGCATCGTTATACTGCAGTCACACCGCAGCAGCTCCAAACACCCCGTCATTCTTCCCCCTGTGAAGCAGACCCCAGCCACAAATGGCTTCGGTGACGAGGACGAGGCCGATGATACCTCGAATGATACCTTCTATTCCGCTGCCGAGGACCGCCTCGATTCGCGCAACGTGTCTCCCCCAGAAGAGTCGACTGACAATTTCGAGTCGGAACTGTCGGAGAGTGATGCCGGAGATTTGTCTGACGAATCTGACGACATCATCTCACTGAATGCACCCATGCTGCCACCTCAGTCATCAGGCGTGCTTTCATCCTATACCTCTGCTACCCCACGACCTGGTAACTACCGTACAAATGGAATTGCCACCCCAGGGTCGGTCTATTCGAGCTTCACAGCCACTACTGCTCGCGGACCTACCAATAGGAGCAAGGTATTCAAAGCCCAGGGGCTGCTTCAAAAAGTACCAGATGACCTGGTCCACCCAAAGCCAGGGGCTGAGGATGATGAAGAGGCCCGCGTATTTGTTGACATTAACACCTTGGTCAAGGTTGGTTGCTTCTCTGGCGACTGGGTCAAGATTGAGGGTACTGAAGCGCCTTCCTCGCATCCTCTTTTTGGCCTAGGCGCCTTTGGCGGAGTAGATGACGAGGACAGCTCTAACTGGAGACCTGTTCGAGTCTTCGGTCTACCAGAAAACATGTCCAAGAAGGTCGCACGCTACCCGGTACAAAAGAACTCGGAGCTTGATCGAAGAAGCAGTTTCTCGGGCTTTTCGCAACCAGTTTCATCACTACATGCATATCTCTCACCAATCCTTCTTGCCAATCTAGGAAGTCCGTCCCACCTCCGCATCACCCCGCTTGCCCCTAATCAATCATCACATCTTCCAAGAAGTGCAATCCAGAAACCTCGTGTAACCGGCTCGTCTCTACCCCCCTCTGCCAAAGAAGTAACCCTTTTGAAAGTGTCAACTCCACTATCTTCTGAGCGTTTGCTTCAGCCCAGTCTTTTCGCAGCCTTGAAAGATCACTTTGAGCAGAAGCGAAGAGTCGTAAAGAGCGGTGATCTGATCGGCGTTTCCATTGATGAGTCTCTTGGTCGAGCGGTTTTTCAAACCAGTACGGATGACGATGCTGGAAATGAAGAGTTGCTTACCAGAGCCAAATCAAATGCCAGCGAGGATAGTCCCAGTGTCAGCAGTCGGAACCCAAAGGTCGTTTCATGGTTCAAGATTGGCAACGTTTCTGCTTCTTCGCATCCCGCTCACGATGGTGAAGAACCGGACATCTGGGGCGGTGCTGTGACTGTGGACGCTGCAAGCACGAAAATGGAGATGAATGGCAGCGAGCAAGGCAAGACTCCGGCTCCTGTCAACAACGCATGGCAATATTACCTAGGCGCCAAACGGGCTCCAGTCTCAAGCTCTCAAAAGACAATGACCTTGGACGAGTTGCCCAAGCCCTACATTTCGCCACTTCGCAGACGGTTACGAGAACTCATGTCTGTGGCGACGAGTCCCCGAGCCATCCACCTGGGTCTGCCCCCCATTGCAGTCTTGATCACTTCAACCCAACGCGGAATCGGCAAGGCTACTATTGCTACCAAAGCTTGCGAAGATCTTGGCCTACACACCTTCTCTATTGATGCGTTCGATATTGTCACAGAAGGGGGTGCTGGAGGCGGAGATGTCAAGACTGAAGGATTTCTCAAGGCAAGAGCCGAGCGAGCTTTGACATGCGGCGCGGAATTCACAGCATTACTTGTGAAGCATATCGATGCGCTTAATGCGGATCGTATGAATGCTGCGCTGAAGGAGATCTTGGCCGACTGCCGCGTGCTAATTGCGACAACCACAGAAATTGACAAGGTGCCTGAAGGCATCCGAGGACTCTTTACACATGAAATTGACATGACAGCCCCGGATGAAGGAGAGCGAGAAGGCATACTGAGGAGTATCATAGACGACTCGGGTATCAGACTGTCTCCCGATGCCGACTTGGGCAATGTCGCAGTCAAGACTGCAGCACTGGTTGCAGGCGATCTTGTTGACGTAGTCGACAGGGCTTTGGTTGCAAAACAACAGCGTCTCGAAGCGCTTGCAGCATCTGCGACAAAATCATTAAAGTCAGAAGAAGCGGTGACGATTCGGGACATCGAGCTTGCCGGCGGTCATATGAGCAATAGTCTTACTAAAGCAGACTTGGACGGTGCCGTGGATGCAGCACGTAAGAACTTTGCCGATGCAATTGGAGCCCCCAAGATTCCCAACGTCGGCTGGAAGGATGTCGGTGGTCTTACACACGTCAAGGATGCAGTCATGGAAACCATTCAGCTCCCGTTGTCTCGTCCAGAGCTGTTTGCCAAGGGCATGAAGAAGCGCAGCGGTATTTTGTTCTATGGACCACCAGGAACGGGAAAGACACTGCTTGCAAAGGCCATTGCTACGGAGTTTTCGCTCAATTTCTTCAGTGTCAAAGGTCCAGAGTTGCTCAACATGTATATTGGTGAGTCTGAAGCCAATGTGCGGCGTGTGTTTCAACGAGCTCGCGATGCACGACCTTGTGTTGTGTTCTTTGACGAACTTGACTCGGTCGCCCCCAAGCGTGGCAACCAAGGTGATAGCGGTGGTGTCATGGACCGCATAGTCAGCCAGCTCTTGGCTGAACTAGACGGCATGAGTGACGGGGGCGAAGGTGTCTTTGTTATTGGTGCAACGAACCGACCGGATCTGCTTGACCAAGCGCTGCTGCGTCCCGGTCGGTTCGATAAGATGCTGTACCTGGGTGTCTCAGACACCCATGAGAAGCAGCAGACCATCTTGGAGGCCTTGACAAGAAAGTACGTGACTAGAACCCTCTCTCAGTCTTGCTTATGCTAACATGTATTCCAGGTTCACACTGCATCCCTCACTCTCTCTACAGCGAGTATCTGAAGGTCTTCCCTTCACCTACACAGGTGCTGACATGTATGCTTTGTGCTCGGACGCCATGCTCAAGGCCATAACCCGCAGTGCCCGAATGGTCGACGACAAGGTCAAAGCGTACAACAGCACTCACTCCTCTCACGTCACCATTGCTTACTTTTTCGATCACATTGCTACCGAAGAAGACACCGCAGTTATGGTCACAGAGGAGGACTTCATGGAGGCCCACAAGGAGCTCGTGCCTAGTGTTAGTGCTGACGAACTCCGTCACTACGATCGGGTGAGGAGGCAATTTGAGGGTGCTGGCAAGAAAGAAGAAGACCAGAAAGCAAACGGCTCGGCATCCCAGCAATCATCAAGCGGAAAAGGAAAGGGAAAGGCCATTGCAGTCGATGATGCCGACAGCATGGTTATCATGACCGAACACGTCGAACTTAATGGCAATGGCGAAGCCACCAGTGGTGGCAGCAGCGGAAAAGGAAAAGGAAAAGCATCGGCTTCAAGCCACGGAGGCAAAAACAGCGTAGACATTGCCGAAGGTGGCTTCGGAGACTCCACCGAAGACGGCGATCTGTACTCTTGATTTGGACTCGTATAGGAGGCGTGTGCATACCAAGTGCTTACATGTGTACTACTCAACTTTAATACAACATCCCTTGCACCCCCACGCAAATGTCAGCAAATCTCACTTCCCCGGGTTGATCATCGTGCACCTAATTCCGTGCAACATCCAGATACGCACTAGGATCGACAGCTTGTTTGTAAAATTAGACCAACATTATGCTTCGACGCGTAAAATGTATAAACAAGAAAGAAAAGGACCGAAACCAGCCGTGAATGATTCGAGTTCTTACACTGCCATCGCGATCATTACTACGTAGGTACACAGTAAGCACGATAAAGTTTTTGTGTCTGCCAAGGATATGCCTGAGAACAGTGCCGACCTCATTTAAGAGGTATGGCTAGGGTACTACCAAGGTTACTATGGTCATTTTGAGAACTGATTCTAGAGAAAAAGGATAGTTATTGGGTTTTTTGCAAGATGCTTATGACTTCTTCCAGTTGAATTTCACAGATACTCGCTGTCCATACAGCTAATTAATGGAACATCATGTAACGCATGCTCCCGTCTCTTCAAGAATAGAATGAGTACCGTGGTCGTAGATCAAAATTACGTATGCGGGCCGGTTGTAAGGGGTGGTGACGTAGGCTGAGGGTACAGAGTAAGAACTATACTGTATGAAGTGCAATTTTCGTAGAGTTAGTATAGATATAGAAACGCTAATTCCAAAGGGGAAAGAGGAGGAAGGGGGGGGGGTATATATATCAATAAGAATCAGCAGGAAAGAGAAGACAAACCAGAATACCAAGGGCAGGATCACTTGAGTATCATGTCAAAACACTGAACTCTTCTTGTCCCATTTTTTTTACTATATCATCCAAATCTTTCAAGCAACCCCATCCATCCAAAATGAAGCCCTCTCCCCTCCTCCCCCTCGCCCTCCCGTCCCTGGCAACAGCCTCAACAATAACCCTGACCGCAACTCTCTGCTCCTCGACGGCGAACCAAGACCTTACTCCCTTCACCATCAACCTACCCACCAACAACCTCACCCCCCTCGTCTCCGACCCCGACTCGGCTATCTGTCAACTCAGCATAACCAGCACATCCTCCGACCTCGACCCCAACAGCGTCTCCTGCACCGTCTACGCCCCAACCCTCAACCCCTCCCTTAGCAACCCCCTCCCCTCTACCCTCTCCCTGCACCACGCAATTGAAAACGCCCGCGTCGGAAGCGCTCTCTGCACCGCCCTCCCCGCCCACCCCTTCCTCCATCTCACCCGCTCGCTCTTCGACTACCACGCACCCTCGACGCCCCGCTCCGCCGGCGACCCCTCGCACACCGGCAGCCCCATGCGCGTGGTCGTCGAAAAACGGCACACGCAAACGCTCTACGTAAAGCGCGAAGCCCGCCCTGTAAACGGCGATCCGGCAAGTCCGGCGGGCGAAGGAGGATCCAAACCTATGGATAAGCCGGGAGATGGGAAGAAAGAGGAGGTAGGCGAGCAGAAGAGAGAAGAGGCGGTGCCGACGTCGAAGGAGAAGCGAGAGGAAGCGGTGCCGACATCGAAGGAGAAGCGAGAGGAAGCGGTGCCGACATCGAAGGAGAAGAGAGCGGAGGCAGTACCAACGTCCAAGGAGAAGAGAGCGGAGGCGGTGCCAACGTCCAAGGAGAAGCGAGAGGAAGCGGTGCCAACGTCCAAGGAGAAGCGAGAGGAAGCGGTGCCGACGTCCAAGGAGAAGCGAGAGGCGGCGCCTACAGGCAACACAGGGGATAAGAAGAAAGAAGAGAAGAGGGCGACGGAAGGTGGGATTTATATTGGTGGTGCACCGGCGGGTGCAAGATTGGACATGGTATGTTTCGGGGTAGGTAGTTTGGCGATTGGGATTGCGGCTTTCGTTATGTAAAAAAGTACAAGTGGGAAATTGTGTATATATCATGTACCCCCCCCCCCCCAAAAAAAAAATCTCCTAGAGAATAATAGTGGCAAGGAGAAGCAATTTAGAAAATATGATGATTTTTTTAAAAAAAAACTCAGACTTATTAAATTAACTTGCTCATCTACACATCTTTCAACTATCGTACAGAGACAACTAGAGAGTTGGCTATCATATCCCGCCGTCGTTAATCAACAACAACAACAACAACAAAACGCCGATGCTAAACTTAAAAAAAAAAAAAACTCCCCATTTTTATCTCGGTGTGCGACAAAGGAAAACCCGGCTGGTCGAATAGCCAAAGATGCTCACACGAAGTAATCCAAGTGACTCTTGAGGCCTCAAAGAGTATTGGAAAATCGCAGCATGATCATGGTAAGTAAGCGATGGTGGCGGCGACGATCGATGCGTCCATCGAACATACCGATGAGAGAAAACATTCAACGACAAAAGACCCAAACGCTGATTTTGATAAACCAAAAACACAACAACAACAACAAAAACAACTCGTTGTCCCTTCTCTTTCTTTTCCCAACTCTTACTCAATTTAATCCTTTTTCTTCTCTTAGATGAACCAATTTCGTATCTTCTTTTCACCAGCCGCAGCGCGACAAAAAGGTGTGACCTTCAGACCCCCCGATCTTCCAGCTCTTATTGTGCACTCCGGCATTTGGAAAGGAAAACAACAGCCAAGGGAATATCAAGAAAAAGAAATCTCTCAAGTTAAGCAAAGAGATGAGAACAGAGGAGAGGAATTCTCCCCCATGTTACCTGGGAAGGCGTTTATTTCTTCCCGAGCAGGCCTCCGACCATGCTCATAGGTCCGCTAGCACCCTTCTTCTTCTTCTTGTCGCCGCCGCCTAGTGCATCAGTGATACCGCCCAGGCCCAATCCACCAAGCAGCTTGTTGATACCAAGTCCGCCTAGCAGACCGTTGACGAGACCGCCGAGACCAAGGCCGTTGAGGAGTCTGCCAACAAGGTTGAGGACACCAGTTAGCAGCAAGCCAACAGCAGCAATGATCTGGAACAGAGGCTCGGTAAGGAGAGCCCAAAGTGGGTTGAGCTTCTTCTTGGCGTGGGGCATGTCGGAGATCTTCTTCTTAGCGTTGTCAATGGTGGTGACGACAGTGGTAGTAAGCTCCTTGAGGTTGTCGGCAAGCTTGTACTCTTCGGGTGAGGCTTCGCCAGTCTGTTGACGACCCTTTGCCTGAGCGGCGATACGGCCATCGGGGTCGAGACCACGGAGTGAGCCATTGCAGTCGTTGAGGATGCGAGATCCTTCCTCGATAAGCGGCTTGACGTTGTTGACAAGCTCTTCTTCATCGAGCTCGTCACGTGGTGTGCGGTCAGCTTGCTCAATGTACTAGAAGCGAGTTAGTAATTGCTCATGAAAAAGACCAAGTATGCATCGTCATCAAACATACCTCTGTAATTTGCTTCATGACAGGCTGGACACGCTGAAGAGTCTCTTCACAGATGGCAGACATCTTCTTGGCGAGCTCAGAATCTTCACGGCGCTGCCTCTCTTCGTCGGTCTCGTCTTCCTCTTCTTCCTGGATGTTCTCCAAGAGAGTGACTTCTCCGACCTTGTTACCGTCGTTGTCGACGACATATCCGTTGTCGTCAATCTCAAGGCCAGCGCAGTGACCAAGATCACCAGCAGTGAGACGACCAATAACATCACCATTCTCGTCGCGGACCTCACCCTCCTTGTTGACACGCATGCCAGCCATGGGGTTGATGCGGCGCTCCTTCTCCTCAGGCTCCCATCGCTCGGCCTTTCCGATGACGTTGCCGTTCTTGTCGTTGATGTCACCGTCCTCGTCGACCTTGTGTCCTGCGAGCTTCTTGATGTCGCCCTCGATGACACGGCCAATGATTTCGCCAGAAGGAGTTTGGACAGTGCCGTCCTTAGCAACGACAGCAGAGTCGAAGCCAGCAAATGGTCCCTCAGGTCCGGACTTGTAGCCGTGGACAAGCTCACCGCGGCCAATGACGTTGCCTTCATTGTCCCAGATCTGACCCTTGCCGTCAACCTTCTTGCCGGCCAGAGTGGCTGGGTCTCCCTCAGCGACGCGACCGATAACGGTGCCGCTGGAGTCGACAATGTTGCCAGCCTTGTTGACAGTGCAGCCAGCAAGAGCGCTGAGGTCAACTTCCTCCTGCTCCTCTTCCTCCCACGGCTCGGCGTGGCCCTTGACGTTGCCATACTTGTCGATAATATCGCCGTCTTCGTCAACAGTGTGTCCGACAAGCTTCTTGGGGTCGCCCTCGGTGAGCTGACCAACACGGTTGCCATCGTTGTCCTCAACGAATCCGTCCTTGACAACGCGGAGGCCTTCGAAGCCGGCAAATGGGCCCTCCTTGCGCTCAGGGCGCTCGTTGGGAGGAATGAGCTCGCAGCGACCGACAACCTTGCCGGTATCGCCGTGGATAAGACCCTCGCCATCAGACTTGCGTCCGGCAAGCTCACCAAGGTTACCTTCGACAAGCTTTCCGATAGGAATGCCCTCACTGTTGACAAGGTAACCCTGCTTGTTGAGAGTAAGGCCGTCGAGAACCGAGAGGTCAGCGGGCTCTTCCTCTTCCTCATCCTCGAGAGGCTCAGCATGGCCCTTGACGTTGCCGTACTTATCAAGGATATCACCGTCCTCGTCTACGGCCATGCCAACAAGACGCTTAGCATTGCCTTCGACAATCTGGCCGACAGTGTTGCCATCCTCATCAGCAACCATGCCGCCCTGCACGACGCGAAGACCCTCGAGGCCGGCGAAGATGCCCTCGGGCTTGGACTCGCGCTCCTCCTCAGGGATCAGTTCGCAACGGCCAATCTTCTTGCCAGTGTCATTGAAGATGAGGCCTTCTTCGTTGATCTTGCGGCCAGACAGCTCCTTGGGGTTGCCTTCGACAAGACGGCCAATGGGGATGCCATCGTCGCCGATGACGTTACCTTGCTTGTTGACGGTGCGGCCTGCAAGTGCGGAAAGGTCCATTGCAGCCTCCTCCTCTGGAGCTTCCTCCTCAGGCTCGTCGTAGCGTTCAGCGTGGCCAACGACTGAGCCCTTCTTGTCAAGAATGTCACCGTCTTCATCAACGGCACGACCAACGAGCTTCTTAACATCGCCCTCAACGACTTGGCCGACGCGGTTGCCCTTGTCGTCTTCGACATAGCCATCCTTGACAACAACAAGGCCTTCGAGACCAGCGAAAGGAGCTTCCTCTTCGCCTTCCTCCTGAGGAACAGTCTGGGCGCGGCCAATGACCTTGCCCTTGTTGTCCCAGAATTGACCCTCGGCATCGCAGGTGAGGCCAGACTTTGACAGCTTCTTGGCGTCACCCTCGATCAGCTCACCCACAATGTTGCCATTGTTATCGATGAGCTTGCCGGCCTTGTTGACCTTGAGACCATCGAGGATTGATAGAGGAGGACGGCCATCGTCATCAACGCCCTCCTCAAAGTCCTCTTCAGCATCCTCCTCAGCCTCACCGACTGGCTGCTCAACCATCTTGGGGAGGGTCTTGACCTTTCCAATGACGTTTCCGTCCTTGTCAAGCACCTCACCCTTGGCGTTGATCTTCTTGCCAGCACACTCGGCGGCATCGCCCTCGACAAGCTCGCCGATTGGCTCGCCATCCTCGTCAAGAACCTGGCCCTTCTTGTTGACCTTGAGACCGTCGAGCTCATTGATTTCTGGAGTGATTTCAACTTGCTTGACTTCAGGTTCCTGGACTTGGGAAGCCTCAACCATCTTGGGCAGAGCCTTGACCTTGCCGAGAACGTTTCCGTCCTTGTCGACAACCTCGCCCTTGGCGTTGATCTTCTTGCCAGCGCACTTGGCAGGATCACCCTCGACGAGCTCACCAATCTCCTCGCCTTCCTCATCGAGAACCTTACCCTTCTTGTTGACCTTGAAGCCTTCAAGTTCATCGATTTCAGGGGTGATCTCCTTCATCTCGGGCTCGCCTTCCTCTTCCTCGTCACTTTCCAATGGCTCGCCGAGCTCCTCCTTGAGTGCCTTGATAGCGGTGAAAGCAGCCTCGCCAGGAACAACATCGACCTTGCCGATGACCTTGCCATTCTTGTCGAGGACTTCACCCTTCTCGTTGACCTTCTTGCCAGCGCACTTCTCAATGTCACCGTCAGTGAGCTCACCAATCTCTTCGCCATCAGAATCGAGGATCTTGCCCTTCTTGTTGACCTTGAGACCATCCAAGATTCTGGTGTCTAGAGCACCGGCGGCGGACTCCTTGAGCTTATCAGCGGCGCCCTCAGCGAGCTCAACCGTGCCAAGAACGTTGCCGTCCTGGTCGACGACCTCACCCTTGTCGTTGACGGTCAGACCCTTGACGTTCTCAATGTTCTCCAGGTCGCCCTCGGCAACGTTGCCAACGACATCGCCGTCGTCGTTGAGAATCTCACCACTGCTGTTGATTTCCATGCCCTCAAGGGCCTCAACGCCAGGAAGCTCGTCTTCAATGTCAGCAGCCTTCTCCTCAACGCCTCCCTTGGCGCTTGAGGCAGCGTTGGTAGCAGTGCCCTTGGCTTGCTCAGCAGTGTTGGTAACGCCGTTCAAGGCATCGCCTTCCTCTTCCTCGTCCTCGTCGTCCTCCTGCTGGTACGCAGGGAGGTCGGCGGCTTCAGGAGAGAGTTCAGCCCTGGCAATGACATTGCCATTGTCGTCGAGAATCTCGCCGTTCTCATTGAACTCACGGCCCTGAATATCGGCTGGGTCGCCCTCAACGAGGTGGCCAACAAAGTCACCGTCCTCGTTAAGGATCTGACCAGATCGGTCGGCAGTGAGACCCTTGAGAATGCTAATATCGGGCATCTTGTTGTTGACATCTCGAAGCTGCTGGTCCAACTCGGGAGCAAGTTCGCAGCGACCAACAAGATCACCATCGTCGTCGAGGATTTCTCCGTTGTCGCCAATGGGGTAGCCAGCGAGATCCTCGGCATCACCTTCAACCAGGCGGCCGATGATCTTGCCATTCTGGTTCTTAATCAGACCTTCCTCGTCAACCTCGAGGCCCTTGAGGAGGCTCAGGTCGGGAGTGGCATCGTCAAC